AGAAAAAGATACATAAATGGGAAGATTGGAAGAACAAGATAAAGAATATAACACAACTAAAGAATGTTTTAACAGATATTAAATTTAATTGGTTGAATTTAATACAATTAGATAAATGGATAAAAATGGAAGATTTGAGGAGATAGTTAACAAAATTTGAAATAATTATAAAAATATGAAGTGAATGAAGAATATAAAGGTAAAGAATTAGGAAAATAGAATATTAACTGAATTGGAAGAGCAGGCAAAAGTTTTACAATTAATTTGGGAATCGGATTTAGGAGAAATAAATGATAATGATTGGAAAATATTTGGAATAGAAGAGTATATAAGAATATGTCAGAGTTAAGGAAAATTGATATAAAGTGATATGGTACTAATACCACATAAATAAATCAGATAGATGTTAAATATAGAAATATTTGTTGGAGGTGCAAGAAAGGGGTTGGAACATCTATATGTGGTGGGATTGTGATAGGTGCACAAAATGTACGGGGCATGGTGTTTAGGTAAATTAGAGTACTTCTGAATGTAAATTTAGATATGTCTAAATAGATATGAGGATTGCATTACTGTTGCTGGTGGAAAAAACAAGATACAAATCAAACAAAAAAGGAATCGATTGCACATTTGATAATGGCAGCTACATTAGTGATGGCTAAATATTGGGGATGAAATTGGGATATTCAAAGGAATGAGTAGTATAATGAAATTGAAGTATGGCAACAGATGATAAATTAACAGAGATTAATTTTTAAAAAGGGATGATTAAAGTAAACAATTATAATGAAATATGGGGGATTTTATAGAAACAATGTTGGTGGAAGGCAAAGAGAATAAACCTCAAGAATATATATTGTTTTGGAGGGGATAATGGTACAATTGGAATATATTGTATTAGTAGTTATAGAAGAAAAAATAAAAGAAAAAATGGTCTCGGGGTGTGTGACTAATATTTGTATTTTTTCCTTTTTTTGTATTTAGATTTGTATGTATTTGTATTCAAAAATATTTTTAAAAAACTAATAAGATAATTAGAACAGTTTTGTGACAATACTTTTGACACAGACAAAAGCATCGTGTCTGGTGGATAAAATATAAAATAAAGTCTAAACATCTGGCTGACTGTGTGAACAAGCATAATAATTTATTCCCCCCAGTGAGACACTAGAAGTGACTCCAATCCCCGGCTCTGCCTGTTCTACTGTTACACATCTTTATTAAACCATTTTCTCCCTCAAACCAGGCATCCTCTCATCTACCTTTGCCTCAGAAAGAATAAAGTCCTTTCACTGAGAAACAAAAGGAACTGAAATAAAAAATGAGCACTAGGTCAGCACCAAAACAGCAGAATTAAATTGCCTGCATTGAAGTTGCTCCAAAGAAACACATAGCACAAGTATTAAAAAATGCCAATACTGTAATATTAAATATAGGCACCAGCTCATTGCAAGAAACAAATCAACGACAGCATTGCTACAATTATAACTGAAGATTTTGCATGCAAAATCCACAAACAAGAAAAACATCCTCCATATATCTGTCTCACTCATGCCACCATAAAATGTCTTTTCCTACTGTTCATGGTTCAAAATAATCAGATGACTTCTCTAGCATTCCCTATAAAAAGAACCCACTTTCATCTCCCTTTTGAAATAACACACACATCTGTAATACTGTTCATCTTGCAACAATTTTTTGTATTCAACTAATTAGTTTAAAAATGCATGTTTTGACGAATATTTTCTCCACCCCATTCTTGGTTCCAACTTCAGAAAAACATCATTTTGAAGCTCTAAAACATTTTTAAATGTGGATACTCCAGATTGACTCCACTCCAAAAATACTATGGAATGAATTACATAGTAATGAATTTGTAAAAGTTAAGCTAGATCATAGATTCAGCTTATTATCAGGTTCCTTTCTTATAATTGTTACTAGACAACCCATGATCCACTGGATCATCATTTCAGAGAGATTTCCTTACCAGATACTTCAGTAGTGCCTTCAATAAATGGCAGAGCTTCTAATGTAGTTGAAAAGTTCTTAAAAATTCAGGGAGATATTCAGAGATGTATCTGCCTTGAAAGTGGTCCCTGTTGAACTGTAGAATATCAGGAATTGACCACAAGAAATGTTTTAATCATAATTTGTAATATGTTATAAACTTAATTTTTAGGTCATAAAATGTTTTATAAAATTCACCAAATTTCAATTTCATGGGAGTCATGACTCCCGGTTTTTGGACACATTCAGTAAGTTAGCTCATTGGAGATATCTTGGTTGAACAAGTTTTGGCTCTCCAGATTTGAAAGGCAGAATTTTCAAATTTTGTTCAGCTAATTAACCAAACCTAGTTTGGTTGTATGCACTGGCACTGGGGATACTCAGGTTCAAGTTCAGGTTTGCAATTTACAAGTTCACTGGGAAACATTTACCAGGTTGTGGATAAAATGGAAAATGGGAAGAGTCCTATGCCACTTCGACTCCTGAAGGAAAGGTGGAGTATAAATTAACAAGCTAATAAAAATAGAAAAAAGTATATCTAAAATACATACTATTAAAAATGGATTACCATAATTATAAAATGCAATCCAAAATAAAATAAAATTTATTACTGTAGGTAGTCCTTGCTTAGCGACTATTCACAGTGAAAACTGATGAAAAACTTTTATGACCTATCTTGCATTTTGTAGATCTGAAAAGCAAAGGAAAGCTTAAGTAAGATCATAAACACAGGCAGGTTTCAAGTAGAATTGCTCCATCTAATGACCCAATCTCAGTCCCAATTGTAGCTAAAGAAGGATTACCTATACATAGCACATTGTGTTGCTGAACTCAGCCAGTATGCTTGGCTTGTACTTCAAAATGTTATATAAATGGAGAATTTAGAGTTGAATAGACTATGGTTAAATACACTACAGACAGACATTGTGTGACTAGCCAGAGAAAAGCATATCACTTCAGGGATAATTTTCAGTAACCTGAAATGTATGAAGGCCCAAGTTCTGTGACAAATTCCCCCAAACCTCTATGTTTTGTATTTTGGTTTTGAATATTTTTACCAATTGTAAACCATCCAGAGTGTCTGGGAATCAGGTGGCATATAAATTTAATAAGTTATTATTTTCCTTGGAAGCAGGTTTCACAGAACAAACACAGTGTGGCCCTCAGAGGCTATTAAAGAAAAGTGTTTTCCTTATTGGAATTGAATTACTAATTTCATATTAGTAGTACCCTCATCTATCGATTGGCAGACTTAAATCCAGGAAGCCCTCTCTGGCACTTGCTCAACAGCTAACAACAAAGTCTAACAATTTTGACACCAACATGCAGTGGAAAACCAAATGGACTGCTGAACGCCCAGATACAGGCAGTTACGCAGTTGACCCTATACAAAAGATGCCAAGTTTTGACCTTCCTCGCCAGCATTGGTCAACTCTGAACAGGATCCGTACCCAGGACTCATTGTATAAGTGGGGTCTTGTCTCTTCCCCTCAGTGTGACTGTGGGGCTCCTCAACAAAATATCCATCACATTGTGTCTGAATGCCCATCAAGAACTTACACCAGTCCAATATCTGACTTTTTCCAACATAGACCACCCTCTCCTTGAATAATAGGTATAAGTAAAAACAATCTACATAGACTTCTGTAAAGCCTTTGATTCAGTGGTACACGACAAACTACTAAAACTAAAGTCTTACGGTATCTCTGGACACCTGCATTACTGGATAGAAGCATTCCTGTCAAACAGGCAACAAATGGTCAAAATTGGGAGCGTCCTATCAAATTCTGTACCTGTCAACAGTGGTGTCCCCCAAGGCAGTATTTTAGGACCAACTCTTCATACTCTACATAAATGACCTCAGTGATCATATTAAGAGCAATTGTGTTCTCTTTCGCTGATGATGTAAAGCTATTCAACACCACAGACAATACTGCTACCCTTCAAAAAGTCCTCGACTATGTATCAGAATGGTCAAACAAATGGCAACTTTAAATCTCAACAAATAAATGCTCTGTCTTACATATTGGCAAAAAATAATAATAATCAGAAAATAAAATACAGGCTGAATAGTCAAGACCTTGTTGATGATCCAAACTGTCAAGGATCTTGGAGTACTCATCTCTAATGACCAAAGTGCTAGAGCCCACTGTAACTACATAGCCAAAAAGGCATTAAGAGTTGTTAACCTAATCCTAGTAGCTTTTTCTCTGGTAATATTACACAACTAACGAGAGCATACAAAACATTTGCTAGACCAATACTCGAATACAGCTCATCAGTCTGGAACCCACATTACATATCTGATACTAGCAGAGTTGAGAAAGTCCAGAAATATTTCACAATAAGAGTTCTCCACTCCTCTACTCATTGCAGAATACTTTATGCCGCCAGACTTGAAATTCTAGACCTAGAAAACCTAGAACTATGCCGGCTTGGGTCTGATCTAAGTATGGTATATAAAATCATACATTGCAATGTCCTATCTGTCAATGATTACTTCAGCTTCAACCATAACAATACAAGAGCACACAATAGATACAAACTCAAGGTTAACCGCACCAAACTTGATTGCATGAAATACAACTTCAGCAACAGAGTGGTCAATGTCTGGGATACTCTACCTGACTCTGGTTTCTTCCCCAAACCCTAAAAACTAACCTTAGACTGTCTACTATTGACCTCACCCCTTTCCTAAAAGGTCTGTAGGGGGCGTGCATAAGCGCACCAACGTGCCTACCGTCCCTGTCCTATTGTTTCTTTTGTAATGACTGGGTGGACTGGACATTAACATTTGAATCACTATAATAAGTCCATGTATTTGCCATACGCTAAATAAAATAAACTAATTCCATAATAAAATTAAAGGCTTTGCCGGAGAAGACGGAAGAGCTGTTGTTGGGGGGAGGGAAGCTTTTTCTTCCATTGAGCCTGCCACAAGTCTCAGTGCTCGACTCCCTCGGCTAGGGCATTCATAGGTGGCATTCGTTCAAACGACTTAGTAGCTTCCTTCCTCGGCTGTTAAGGAAGAGATGCGTGCGCGTTATTCAATCGCCTCTCTTCGGCTTCGACGCTTCCCTCCCTGAGCTGCCTCAGCCAGCCAGCCTTGGCGCAGCTGAGGAGACGAGCAACCTTGGGTGGTGAGAAGGGCTCTAGGACCCAGGGGAACACGGGCAGCCGGGCTCTGGGAGCCAGATTGCAAATTCTTCTCCGTGACTCAGTCGGCTCCGCGCAGCGCATAGTAGGCGGCAGCGGCGGCGGCCGAAGCGGAGAGTCTCGAGCAAGCAGGTCCGTTCGGCTCGCGGGAACAACGGGTCGACCTTAGGGGGGCGACGGCTAGGCGTGGGTAACGAAGAGGACCGGAAGGACCGGGCGCCGCGCTTCCCTTCTAGATTGGGCCTAGCGTCACCCGCCGCGACTGCCGCTAACGGCGGCTCCTGCCTGTTGTCTTTGCAGAGCGCCAAGATGGAGTACGAGTGGAAACCCGACGAGCAGGGGCTTCAGCAGATTCTGCAGCTGCTCAAAGAATCGCAATCCCCGGACACTACAACGCAGAGAGCCGTGCAACAAGTATCCTGCACAAAAAGAGCCGGGCAGGGGGAGCGTCCGGCCGGTCGGACGGGCACCGAAGATAGCGAGGCCCAGCGGCTGGGTCGGTTTGCCGCATGACTCCGACCCCGCAGGAGGTGGGGGAAGGAAGAGCTTAAGGCAAAGCGGTCCGCTCCGCTTTGTCGTGTCTGAATGAGGGAGAGGAGGGTTTCGCCTCCTTAATGCCCTGGAGAGAATAACGCCTCTGGGCCTCCGCTAAGGCGACCGACCGTAGCGGTGATCCAGGCCCAGCCCCCGCCTGGCCTGGCGCGGGCTTTGAATCGCGAAGGAAGCCTGGCGGCGGCGGCGGCGGCGGCGGCAGCGGCAGCAAAGCCATCGCTCTGCCTCCCCCTCCCTGCGCCCAGGCCCAGCACCTGTTGCGAGTCTGGCGCCAAACCCCGCTTTTCTTTCCAAGGCTTGGCCCGCCTTTATCAGCTCCGGTGTCGGTCGCTTTCCCAGGCTCGCTCTCGACCGCTATCTATCGGCCTGTGTCTCAAGCTCGTCTTAGTGGAGCGGTAGATCCGGCCCTCTGTGCCATTAAATTCCTTACGGAAAATCCCAACTGACTCCTTTTCTCTCGAATGATCCTTTGTCGATCATTTAAAAAAAACCTGGCCGAATAAGTCTTTTGTACCCTTGGCTATCTCTTTCTGTCGGGACATTTTGCCGTATATCATTCTTAGCCACCTGAAGTTCTTGTTGGCCCCTCAATTTCATACTGGGTCATATTCAGGATAAGGAAAATAATAAACAAACTGTTAGGCTTTTTAAATTGTTTTCTTTTGGTGCATTGGATCTCTGAAGGCAGTAGAGAAGTGAGTGAAGTGTTAAGTTTCTGTATGTAGAAAATAGTAACTGCATAGATTTTATCATTGGTAATGCTGAAAATATTCTTATCAAAGAAGCTTGCTGTTTTTTTGTTTCAAACTTGTAGTTTTTTACATGTTGGTGAGTGCTATGAGTGTGCTTGTGTATGTAGAATTTTAGGATCTAAATTGTTTTTGCTGCTCAGTGAGGTACAAATTTTGGTACAGACTAGATAGTAAATGCCTGTATCAGTAATTACTGTGCATTTTGTTTGTGCATGTATTTTTTAAAGCCAGGTAGTTTAATTTTAGAAAAGATTTAATGCTAATTCAGGAAACTTTGAATTCTTAGTTTTTACTCCTGCTAAATGAAATTCCATTTGAATAATCTCATAGCCTAAAGTAGTAGTTTAAATGAAATTTAAGTGTAAATTATAAGATAGTTAATGCACAGGAAAATGCAAAAGTATAAAAATACCATATAGTGATTCTCCCATATCATATGGTATGACTATTTACCATTTTGCTTTTCTAGCATATATTCCATAGGTTGTTGATGGGAATACAAATTTAATAGGATTTTGCAAAGATTCAACAGAGATGCTTTACAGTACGTGTATCAAAATGCATGTGCCTGCATAACCATATGAAGAAAGCTGGGAGAGCTGTTAAAACAACTTTGAAAAAGACAGGGCTGCTTTAAAGATACAAAGAAAAACAATTTATTTGCAGTCCTATGTCATTTCTTTTGAAAGTGTTACATGGCCATAATTTTTTTTAGATTTCCTAAATAAGACAATTGTCTTATTTTATGTAAAGTACAACACAGATAGTAGATTTTCTTGTTGGGTAAAGTACTGTTTTTTACTTTTTAATTTAATCATCTTAACATATTTCTTGAAAAGGAATCTTTCTTAGCAGTTTTATATTTACTGTTTTATATAGGTAATGCTCAACCTAAAACCATTTGTTTAGGGACAATTCAAAGTTACAAAGGCATTGAAAAAAAACACCTTATGATCAGTTTTCACACTTATGACCATTGCAGCATCCCCATGGTCATGTGATCAAAATTTGGATGCTTGGCAACAAGCAGTTTGCCAACAGTTGCACTATCCCAGGATAGCAATAGCACTTAGACTTATATACTGCTTCATTATGTGATCATTACATCATCATTTGTAACCTTCCCAGCAGGCTTCCGACAAGCCAGTGGGGAAAGCAAGAATCATTTAATGACTGAATGATTCACTTAGTAACTACAGCGATTTGCTTAACAACTATGGCAGAAATTTGAAAAATCAGATGTGACTCACTTAAAACCATCTTTCCTAGCAATAGAAATTCTTATTCCAATTGTGGTTGTAAGAAAAAAAATACCTACATAGCTAAATTTTGTTTAAATGGATGTTTTATTATTATAATATTAAATTGCCACCTATGTTACCTTAAGACTACTCTAGGTGGCTTACAACAATAAAATAAAAACATGAAATAAAAAGGAAGTTTAAACAAAGCCAAAGTAAAATAATAGAACAATGAATAAAAACAAGAAAATACATCAATATAACTAGTGAAAAAGATGAATGAATGGGAAGCAAACAATGGGAGAGGATACATGGAGGCTATTGTCATATGTCCATAGGAATGTGTTGATTCATTGAACGACTGCAATGTTTGCATAAGGACCAGAGGGTTTGCTTAAGGATTGCTTCAAAAAAGGTCATAAAAATCGGGTCAGTTGCGGGGGTGCCTCAACTTAGAAACCATCATAACTTATAACAGTAATTCTGGGTTTCATTACATTCTTAAGTTGAGGACTATTTCTATATCCTAGAAATAGTTTGGAATATGTTACATGTAATATGCCCTCTGTTTAAAAAAAAACCTATGACTGGTAGATATGTTGACAAAGCATATTCTATTCCTAAGTTATTTAATATAGCAAGGGCCTGGTAGGCCATATAGCAAACGATGCTCTCAATAAATCTTCTGTCAGGATACTTTCTGTTATTAAAACCCAGACCTCAAATATTTTATACTAGACTTGTCTTGAATCCAACTTATTTGCTAGACTGTTTTTCTCCTTTTATGTAGAGCAGCTTATTTCTATATTCTGAGTTGCTTATCAATGGAAAAAAATGACATTTTATTGTCTGCAGCTTACTGTCATAGAATACATATACTCTACCTGTTTTTATCCACATGCTGGATTTATATACTATAGTAAGTCATAGTGTGATTTGCTTGGTTTGGATTTAGCATATTAATGGAATCTGTCTATTATATTTTGTAATCCTCTGTGTGTGTGTGTGTATTATTTGTAGATGAGTAAAACCAAGGTACTTCAGTATTTAAACTCAAACTGTTTTTAAAGAGATGTTTGATATGCTATTGTTCAATATACTAAACTGCTGTTTTGTAAGAAAAAGCAATTCCTTTTCTTTCTGGTGACATGGGTCAGAAAATATTGCAATCATCTATGTATGTCATCAATACACACAGTGATGTTTTCTCCAAAGTAACTTCATTTGAATGCTCACCTCTATAAGGCTGTATAGAATCACAGCATTTAAGTTAGTACAGGATTTTACCAAATTAGACTTTATGTAAAAGACTAGCTTGCTTTGTTTTTTAATTTCAGATAGTAATTTTAGACATTTACCTAGCCTTGCTGAATACAGCTATGATAATAGAAGTAGAATGTAGCCTATTGCAAATATCTATCTGCACTTAATCTGATTATTGAGTAGGTGTACATAGGGCACAGCTATAATATAATTCAGTATATGAACATTATGGAATGTAAACAAAACGTAAATTTTATTAACATATTTATAGAATTCCTCAAGCTTTACCAGTGTCTGTACCAGGAGGCAATTAAGAATCAGTCTGTTACATGTTACTACTAACATTTGAAAATAATACAGGAGATAGATTGATATCATTTATATTAAATCTCATTCTGCTTGAAAGTTCCCTGAATATATCTGCCATCTTAAATAGGAGAAGTAATTGAAAAGGATTTTATGTGCATCCAGTAAAGCTGCTGTGTGGTAGTGGTTAAGGCATGGAATTGTCAGTGGGGAGTCCCTGGTTCTAGTCTTAAGTCTGATCCATGAAAACTACTGCTTACCTCAACCTAATCTATCTCAGAGGATTGTTACTGTAGGCGGGAAAAAAGTTACATATACTACATTGAATTCCTAAAGGCAAAGTGGGTTAGAATGTGGTATTAAAGGCTAACTCTGTCCACAGCCTAAAGTTTGATCCTGACTGGCTTTAGGTAGATTCAGCCTTCCATCTTTCCCAGGTCGGTAAAATGAGGACCCAAATTGTTGGGGATAATATGCTGACATTTTCAAACTGCTTAGAAAGTACTGTAAAGAACTATGGAGCAGTATTAAGTGCTATTGCTATTTTTAATTATAAAGATAAGTCTTCATAGGAAAAAGAAGATGCAGGATGCTTTTTGCATTCTGCTTGGATTAGTGTTACTAATAGTTTTGGGATAAAAAATACCAGTCATTTAACAAGAATATATGTGATCTATTTTGAATTAGCTTTCTATTTAATGGCTATGATCCTGATTAAATTTAGTTGGTAATTAGATTGTTGAATTTCCAGTAGTGGGTTTGAAAAAAAAAACAAATTAGTTTCACTCATATTTAATAGAATTTTGCAGTGTTTCATATCTTCCATGAAATACCTTTAACAAAACTTTAGAAACTGGAACAACTCAATCAGTATCCAGACTTCAACAACTACCTGATATTTGTTCTTACAAAACTAAAAACTGAAGGTGAGTTTTATGTTAATTGTACCCAGTAATTACATAACTGTAGATTAATTAGGTAAGAATTTCAAAGGTCCCTGAGTACTTTATTCATCAAAACTTCACTGATTGTTTAGTTCACCAGACTAGATTCTACTAAAATATTTTTTTTATTCTGTGAACAAAAACAATTGCTCAGAAATAAATGGAATTTATTTTCAAATAAATCTGTTTTGAATAATATAATACATATATTGGACAGTACCAACCAACATTCTAATAATTGCTAAAATATCCTTCCATGACCACAAGGTCTTTAAAATAGTATGCTAAACATTTTATCTTCTGAAAGTGGTTTATGGATAAGTTATCAGTGTCAACTAACTACTTCATGCCCATTTTGGGTTCACTGTAATTTAACATGAATAGGATGAATTATGCTCTATTTTCTTTAAAAATAAATTTTTCACTTATGCACATTTTCAAAAATAAATGTATTGTTCAGTCTGTCTAAAATAAGTTTAATTAATTTATTAGATATATAATAATTTTCATATACATTAAATTGGATTATGTACATTAAATGACATTGAATCTATGTATTCATATCACTTGATAATGCCAATATAAAAATGTCATTTGTCCCATTTTACATAATTTGTGTGATGAATCTATGAAATAATTTGCATGATATAGTAAAAAATAAAATTGAATAAAAATGGTCCATTCCATTTGAAGATAGTCCATCAAGATCTGGTAAATTGATATTTAATTATTTTTGTGTTGTATATGGTTGAAAATTGAAATTGTATTAAAAAAATCAGTGTAGTATGCATAATGTTGAATTGGAGCTTAAAATACTCATTGCAATCATTCTGGAAACATTTGGAACTTCAACTATAGGTTGGAATATAATTTTGAACAATCCTAACAAGAATGGATGAATCCATTTCAAGCTCAAAATGTTACCTATGTCTCAAATTCTAAATAGAGCATTTTTTTCAGGAGATACTGTAATAAAAGTATATCCATTCTTTTGTGAAGACTGCCATAGAAAACTGGGTGTATGTGCTTGGTAGTATGAATGCTGTCGTTGATAAAGCAGAACGTACTTTGCAAGGCAAAGTGTTCTATTTTAAAAAATAAATTTTCTAACTAGCTTATTTGGTATAATAATTTCAGAGGTCATAGATTTTCCTATCAGGTTCCTCTATTAACATAATATTGGGAGTCCCAAAGGTGCTTTTTTAAGAGGCAGTTGGACTTTCTCATTTTCTTTGAAGACATTTTGCTTGTCATCCAAACTTTGTGAATCTTCCAAGAAGCTTGGATAAAAAGCAAAATGTCTTCAAAGAAAAAACAGAAAGTCCAATTGCCTCTTAAAAAGCATCTTTGGGACATGACCTGGATGACTAAGAATCTCCATAGACATAGTCTTGGGAAATACTGGCCAACTAATATATCTATGGAGTCATACAATTTAATATTATATTGTAATATTAAATAGTGTGTGTGTTTGTGTGTGTGTGTTCAAAAATCATTTCATGATTTGAATTGTGCTTGCTCCTAAGTAGGTATATGAAATACATAGGTTAAATGATTTTTCTTTAAAACTTATTGCAGATGAACCAACAAGATCACTAAGTGGTCTTATTTTGAAGAATAATGTCAAAGCTCACTTTCACAACTTTCCTAATGGAGTAACTGATTTCATTAAAAGTGAGTGCTTAAACAATATTGGTGATTCCTCTCCACTAATCAGAGCCACTGTAGGTGAGTCATGAATATTTATTTATATACTGTTTCTTTATGCTAAATAAACAAATTGTAACATAGAAATGTAAACAGTTTTTAAATGTGTTCTAAAGGACTGGATCTTTTTCTTTTTTTCAAAAACTTGTGTGGGTAATTGATTGGTTCAGATATAGATATGTTAGATGGCTATTATACTAGTACATATAATCATGTGTTTATTCAATATTTATTTCCAACAAATGTATTCCAAGTCTTCTGCTTTTACTTTGTTTCATGATAAAAGTGTAGATGATTATTTTAACTCTTTTAGATGTGGGATAACATGACAATATGAATTCCTCATGCATATTATCAGAAATAATATTTTAAATTTTAAAATATCTTCAGTATTAAAAAGTTTTACTTTTGCATTTACTTGACACAGGATCACTGTTCTGCTTCAGGGAATATGATTTGAACATAGAAGAGCCTTGAAAGAAATATGTGAAAACATAGGAAAGGACTTGTTACAAACATAGATGCCATGATTAGCTTTAGTGTTGCTACCTTGGGTTTTATGCTGTGGTTTTCATACAAAATCCTTTTTTCCCTTTATAATATTTCAACTTGGTGCCTTCCAGCCTTACTGATAATAAGAAAGTTTTAGTTTCCAATAAATGAAAACCACAAGTTCTCCATTCTTGTCCTAAATGAGCAACAACATTCCTCCTAAATCTACAAATTCCCAAATCTTTGGGGAAAGTGAGAGGTATTTTGGAACAAATTTGGATGTGCCTGTGGGAATAACAACAAGGAAATCCCTGTTGCACAAACAGAAGTTATTTTACTTATTTCATTGTCATAATGGTTTCTACCTCCAGAATATAGAATTCGAGTATCTCTACTTATCAGTAGTTGAGAAAGGCAATTGTTGACCATTCAGATGCTGTTGTATTAAATCAGCTCTATTAGGGATAGTAGAATTGGAGACTTGATATATTTGAAGAGTGAAAGTTGATCACCAAAGAACTGCCTTTGGTTCTTACCTTCAGCCATTTGAGCAGATTTTCCCATTCCCTTCCTTAAGCGTATATTCTAATTGTATAAATAGAATTGCATATGTCATCGACTTGTCTACTGTTAAACTAATGTTTTATGGCTTCAAGAAATCTGAGAAGAGTACAAGGACATTTTTTTGCAGATTAGCTTTCCACTCAGCTTGAATATCAGCCTATATTTATGTTTAAAATGTATGTGTGTGTATACTTCTTTACAAACAGACTGCTTTATCTAGTCACTTAAAGAGATAAAAGTTTTTAAATCTTTTCTGTTGGCCATTCTTATTTATGTATTAATTTTTATATTGTTAAATTAAAGCAACTTATTATCAATAACTTTTTAAAATTTCCTCAAACAAATTCAAGGTATCTTGATTACAACCATTGCCTCAAAAGGAGAATTGCAGAACTGGCCTGAACTTTTACCAAAGCTTTGTAGCCTGCTTGATTCTGAAGACTACAATACTTGTGAGGTTAGAGTTTGCTTTTTCTAATTAAACTTGTCTTTTTGTTTGAAATATGTCAACAGTGTGCTAATTATTATTTTTACTACTTTTATTTTTTTCTACCTGGAACTGTGAGGTGGGTTAGGCTGAGAAAGAGTGACTGACTCAAAGTCACCAGCCAGCTTTCATGCATGAAGCAGGAGTAAGAACTCACTGTTTTCCAGTTTCTAGCCTGGTGCCTTATCAACTAGACAAAGGATCTTCAAACTTGGCAAGTTTAAGACTTGTGGATTTCCACTCCCAGAATTCCTGAGCTAACGTGACTGGAGGCGGAATTCTGGGAGTGGAAGTCCACAAGTCTTAAAACTGTCAAGTTTGAAGACTCCTGAACTAGACCAACTTGGCTCTCAGTGATCTTTTACCATGGATATGGGAAGATTTTCTTAGATTCTGTCATGAACCTTGTTGCTATTTTTTTTCCTCCAGCAACAATATTACTCTTCTTTGAAAAGAAGAGGTATACTCTTTCTTCCACCTGTTAATGGAAATGTATGATGGGAATTAAATCATAGGCAGTTTCTTCGCAAATGGGGTCATAATGTTCCACATATTATTAAGCTAATTTTGACTTTTTGGTTAATTTTCTAACAATTCTTATTGAAGGAAATAAGCTGTATTAGCAGGGAGAGCCCAGCTAGATTAGGGCCTGGTGCTGTGTTCCGATACCAGAGAGGCTTCAAAATAAGAAGGGAAATAAAAGCTCCCCAAAGTCCTAAAAATCTCCATAAAATTAATAATACTAAAGGAATTAAAGTTAGGGTTGACACTTAAAGTCACACACACATACACACGATAATGACCAGCTTCAAAAAATAAAATACAAAATATATAAAAGAAAACTTACTAATACCATTGCATTGTTGTAAAATATTGTAAAAACTGTGCTAAAGAAACTATTGTTTCATCCTTTTATAATTGGAAAATGTTGCCTTTTCTAGGACATTTTCTGCAGTTAGGGGAGATCTTAGCTGATTAACTAAAGAAAGCATATTGTTGCAACAATAAAGACATACTCGCCTATTCTGCCCTTGAAGATCACTTGAAAGTTACATTGGTTCATCATATGATAGCATGCATACATACTGTTGGTCACCTTCAGTTTACCCATATTATCTTGATGTAATACAAACTTCACTAGCTCCCAATTTCTTTCCAGGAGCTGCTTGTCACTTTAAAAAACTACATCAGAGTTCCCCCAACTTTTCCCAGTTTGTGGACCAGCCCAAGCGGGGGGGGGGGGGGGGGGGGGGGGGGGGGGGGATGGGATGGTTTTGTGCTACGGATGGGCAAGAGTGTGTGTCCGCGGCTCCACCACTTCCATGGTCTGGTTCCAAAAGGCTCAAGGTCTGGTAGTGGGCTGTAGGTCAGGGTTGGGGACCCCTGCCCTACATGACATTGAGGACAGGTTATTTGCAAGACTGCTCTTTTCTGTGAGTGTCTGCTGGCCTCACCCTGTCTGATAGGGTGGGTGTCCTTTTCACTTAAATGTCGCCATCTGACCTAGATCTTTTCCCTGCTCTGTGGATCATCCTTCAGCTGGGGATCTGGTAATCCTCACCCTTTTAATCTTTTGGAAGTCTGAAGAGGGCTTGTTCTTCCCCTAGGGATTGGGGTCAGGTAGGTTGGGAGCCTGTGGATGATTTTGTTGGAGGAATCCAAGTGAGATAGATACGTGCCTTTTTCTTTTGGATTTTTAGTTTTATTGTTTCTTGGTTTTATTGTTGTTTTCAGCTGTTTAGAATTCTGTTTTAAGAGGGGTAGCTATAGAGATCTTTCCATTAAATAAGATGTCTGCTGTATTTGAAATTCAGCCTGCAGTGAGAAAGTAATGCTGGATCTGATGTCATTATATAAATATCAAAAAAGACAACAAATTATTTTGTAGGGTGCATTTGGAGCTCTTCAGAAGATCTGTGAAGATTCAGCTGAAATCTTAGACAGTGATGCTTTAGATCGTCCCCTTAATATCATGATCCCTAAGTTTCTACAATTCTTCAAACATAGCAGTCCAAAAATAAGGTAAGAAATAAAGTTCTTTAGTCAATTCTTTCAAAAGTTTTCAGGGAAGCATTTTAAAGATAGCTAACATGAGTGTACTGCTGAAATTGCAATAATCTATTTATACACAATGCTGGGTAATTTACAAAGGTTGTAAAAATAATAGGAATCAATTAAATCACAAATAGAAATGGCCAGGCCAAGCAAACCAAATAATGGGCTGAAAGGCCTTTGGAATAAGCAGGGTCTTCAAGGATCTTTTGAAGGCAGACCAGCATAAGGCTATGTAGACTTTGCAGGAAAGAAGTATTCTAAGAGGGCAGACTCCACAACAGAAAAAGGATCCTCCTGTGCTCCATTAGATGACATTTTTAAAATAGATCGGACCTGAATGCCTACCCTGTTGGATCTTACCAAATGGGCAGAGACAATTGGAGACAGGTAATCCTTGAAATATCCATGCCCTGTGTCATGCAGAGCTTTTTAGATGGCAATCAGCACTTTGAATTGCATCCAAAGCCCCAATAGTAACTATACATTTTTCATAGCAGCGTTATTTTCTTTGCATAATCTGACTTATTTTAATCTAGGTTGAGGCCTTGAAAAGTCATTTCATTGTATTAGTTCATGTGCCACAAGTTATTCTGTTCACCTGTTCATCTGAAAGGTGTCTAAATTTTGCATTCTGGATATTATCAATCCGTATATCTTGAACTTTATATCAACGATCACCAACTAGTGGTCCACGAGAAAATTTTGGTCTGCAGAAAAATGTCACCCCCAGAGCACCCCGCAAAGCAATTAATCCAGGCTACACGGGAACCCACATGGCCTGCCCTCCCTGCCCACTCACACCTTACCTGGCAAACTTGTCTGCTAAGTTGCTATTTTTCCTTTTTCCAACCATCAACTGTTCTGCTGTGCCGGAAGATTTAGATTAGCTAGAAAGCAGGAAATGCTTTCTAGTTAATCTTTAGATCTTCCTTAGGACTGAAGCAGTGCAGACTCAGCTAGCCAATGGCAGAAACACAGATCTCTAAGTGAATCTGTGAGCCACTCAATCTGCCTGCCTGCTTTGCCTGATTTTGGGTAAAAGTTACTCTTTTTAATAAAAAATTCAATATTTACATACATAGTGTCTTGTGAGTTAATTTTGTGAGTTTTCTTGCTAGCAAATTTTATGAGTTTGCTTGCAAGCAAATTTTATGTGACAAGCTCGGGTAGCTGATCTCACAGATCTCTGATTCTGTGAACCACTCAATCTGCCTGCCTGCTTTGCCTGATTTTGGGTAAAAGTTGCTCTTTTTTATAAAAAAAATCAATATTTACAGAAATATTTATAATATTTACATACAAGCCATGCCCAGCCAGTCAAATGGCCAAGCCACACCTACAAATTAGGCCACGCCCACAGAACCGGTCGTTAAGAAATTTGAATCTCACCCCTGCCTCTGTGTGTGTGTGTGTGTGTATGTGTGTGTATGAGAAGGCGGGGAGGGAGGGAGAGAAGAGAGATGTTACATCAGATTCTCTCTCTCTTTCTCCCACCAACATCAGCAAGCCACCGTTAGTCAAAATTCATATTAGTGGTCCCCGGGATTTAAAATTATGAGTTTGGTGGTCCCTGAGGTCCAAAAGGTTGGCGACCCCTGCTTTAGATGACAGCACTTACCATTTTACTAGCCCTTAGAGACCAATAAATACTTCATAAAAATGAAGGTATCCAACTAGAGTTTCTTCTACTAAGTAAGTCTAATATAGAGGTGCTCTCCTAATAACAGTATGGCTATAAAACTACAAGTAGTCCTTGAGCTACAACAGTAATTAGGCTTGGTATTTCCATCGTTAAGCATATCAGTTTAATACAGAAATAAGATAGAAGTATGACATTAGATAATTGCGTCACTTAGCAACCACAACTCCAGGAATTTTCATTGCTGTTGTTAGTTGAATTCCATTGGTCATTACCTGAGGACAAACTACAGTCCAAGCCATTGCAGGCTTAATCCCTCCCAACGCCTGAGCTTCAGTTTCTTCTAAGATAAGGACTGCCTATCTTCTACTCGCCTCAGCTGCCTATTCCACCCCCCCCCCCGGTGCATTTTTGGCTGCCCTGCACCCTGCCTTATAGGGCAGCAAACAGCACCAGAATTTCGTGGCTGTGGTGTCGTTTGCCACTCTGCAACTCAGGCTTCTTGGCTCACTGTAGTTCTGGGGCTGCAAAAAAAAAACCCTGAGCCACAGTACAAAGCCGCAGCCATCCCTGGAAGCCTCAGCCACCTCAGGCCAGCTTAGCAGCATGGTGTGTGCAGCTGATTCAGGAAGCGCTAGCCTGTCCCAACAAAGTAGTGCAGAGCTGCAGCCCCAGCCCAATGCCTCTGCTGACAAGGCATGCTTGCCCTGGCTCTTTGTGAGGCAGCAGCTGCCTTATGAAGGGCCAGGCATGCTTGTCGGCAATAGGAGCGAGAAGACTGCGAAGGTCAGCTAGGATGGCAGGGGCCATGAAGTGCAGGGTATTGAAAGAGCCTAGATGGAGCAAGAAGATAGGGGGTGGGGAAGTTTAAGAGGACCTACAGTTGTAAGAGACTGTACAAGTGCCCAGATTTTAATCACATGGCCACAGGTTGCTGCAATAGTTGTAACTTCAGGGATTGGTTGCAACTCCCTCATTCAGCACGACCATAAGTTTGGCCACTGAACAAATGATCATTGTGTGAAAACTACCTATATAACTAATATAGACTGTTTTTGACATTTCTGAAACTTCAAGATATGCAATATACCCATATGCTTTATTCATAATATTAAATAGCAAGTTATTTTTTCCCTTTGCAAAGAGATTGATGTTGAGTTTAATTCTAGGTAGTGGCAAATTTATTCCTTCAGCTTTTTACAGTAATATATAATTTTTTTTACCTTATGTTAATAGGTCCCATGCAGTTGCTTGTGTCAATCAGTTTATCATCAGTAGAACTCAAGCCCTTATGCTGCACATCGATGGATTTATTGAGGTGTGTGATTCATATTTGGACATCTTATGGATAATTATGATGTATTTCTCTTTTTCTGAATGCCATTTTCCATTGCTTCAAAATAGTCCCATTTGGATTGAAGAGAGAGAAAGTGGACAGTAATATTTCTTTTTTTTTCCTTGATAAAGTGTGGTAACAATTACAAAAATACTTTAAAAAGCTGAGCCAGTAACTCAGCTTTTTTCTCAGCTTTTTTCTAACTCAATTTAGAATTTTCTTTCAGTTAATAATTGAGTTGTTTGTCAGACATTTCTAGGGCAAAATTTTCTGACTTTTTATTAATGTCTAGCCAAATAAATGGTCTAAATAGTATCTATTTCTCTGACTTACATCTATGCTGGTGTCTGGTTGATGAGGGTAATAAAGGTAATAACATCACTTTGTCTACTTTTAAACTTACTATTCTCTGCCCTGGCAGAATTGATTGGTATAACTTGGCTTGTAAATGTTTCTGCAATACATAGCAATCACTTTTATTTGTAATTAGCTGATCTGAATGATGTTAAGCATTAGAAGAGACAGCTTCCTATATAAATTGATACAGTTCTGTCTTATCTAAGTTAAGTATCTAAGCTGAGAAAACTTTATTCATGGTTTAGATTTTGTTATGTTTATAATCCAATAAAATGTCTGCATTGTTGAATTAATAGAGTGAATATTGTTCTATGACAGTGAGGTCTAGAAAACTCTTTTAAGTCCATCATTTTTTCCAAATAATGTAGACCACTGAAAGCTGGTAATATAAATTTTAGTTCATAGTTTATCTATCTATCTATTTTTCTTTCTATCTATCTATCTATCTATCTATCTTTATCTATTAAACATTTCTAGTTTTTGATTCTCCTTTAACAGAATCTGTTTGCATTGGCTGGGGATGAGGAGTCTGAAGTACGTAAAAATGTTTGTCGGGCTCTGGTAATGCTGCTGGAAGTTAGAATGGACCGTTTACTTCCTCATATGATTAGTATTGTTGAGGTAACATTTTGCATTTATTTAATGAAATGTTTTAAGATGATAACGTTCTTTGAAATAGAGATTTTTGGCAGATGCAACTTTTCCATTATTAAATATATCAAAATGCTTGAAAATCAAATCTGGCATTCAGAATTATTTCTTAATATTTTCCTTACATTTGTCTATTTTCTCTTAAGAGCACATGCATGTGTCTGTGTGTATTGCTTTAGTATACAGCACAAAAGTATACAAATACACACACACACACACACACACACACACACACACACACACATAAAATCAGTCATTTTTCAAACACTGTTGATCACAAAGTCATTTCATAAACGGACAGTAATATAACTACTAATTACTAAAACTAATTTAATATTATAAATCCAATCTGCCCTTATCTTTCCATCATAAAATAATATTCTTATTTGCTATAAACTGTAATCAGTAAATCCATAGTTCTTCCTACTGGTTCTTTCTACTACATCATTCAAAATCACATTCACATCTTTTTTTTCCCAAAACCATACTAACAAATATGGAAATAAAAAATAAGAAATCAAAATAGGATGATAGTGAAGCAGTCCCATAGCAAGTGACGTGTCCATCATTTTCTTCTTCCAGTATAATGAAGTTGACTGCTTCAGACATTATCTGGGATGTCCAATAAATATGTTTTGTTAACTAAAGATCATCTTAAGTTCATTAGAAGTATATGCCATATTCTTTAAAATCCGTAACCAATATTTTCTTAAAATGCAGTATTTATATAATTTATTCCAAATATTTGCAGATAATTTTGTACACCTTAGTAGCAATACTTTTAATCCTCTCCCCATTGCCAGCGAGATGAACAGTGAACAAATTTAAAGAAACAAGGAAATTTATTATGTAAAAATTAGTTTCTTGTTAAAGATGCAGCTTTAGGTTTATATTGTCAGTTTAATAAATATTGTTAACTCTTGGAAGGACCCTAAATATGATATCTGAAAAAAAAACTGCATGTAAAAAACTGATTTGCTATATTTTGTGGAAAAAGAGAATTTTCATGTCAGCAATCTGAAATCACACGCACACACAAAAAGAAAAAAAAAGCTGTAAAGACCCCCTTCAAAAACAAAACAAATCCAAAAACAGAAATAGGAAAGGAGAGTATTTTTATTAGGACATCAGATCCTCTATTTTCAGTCTTTCCCAATAATAATATAGAATGAAAATATAGAGTAGGAACAATCTCCAAAGCGAAGGTGACTCATTTCCTAGAAAATAAAAGAAGAAAACATTGGAAAAGACGTATGTCGTTACTTCAGATGATTCCAAAATAGTAAAATTTATACAGCTTCCGCATCAAAACATTTTATCCTAGAATCCAAGAATAAACAATAAGAATAGCAATAAAAGAAAAAGAAGAAGGTTTTTCTCATTTTGGTTAAATAGAATAGAATACAATACAATACAGTACAATACAATACAACACAACACAACACAACACAATAAAACACAATAAAACAGAATAAGACAGAATAAAACAATAGAATTCTTTATTGTCCAAGCATGGTTGGACACACAAGGAATTTGTCTACGGTGCATAAGCTCTCAGATACATAACAAATATAAGTGATGAATCATGATCATAGTCATAATCATTATACGAATCGTAAGATACAACACTTAGTGATAATCATAGGATACTAAATAAGCAATCAAAATCATACTAGGAAACTAAATGAAACAATATACATTGTAAAGATAGAAGCAACAAGGTTATAGTCATAAGTAGAAAGGGAGATAGGCAATAGGAAGGATGAGAAGAATAACAGTAATACAGTCTTAGTAAATAGTTTGACAGTGTTGTGGGAGTTAGTTGTTTAACACAATTTAGTTGTTTAGCAGAGTGATGGCATGTGGGGGGAAAACTAAAATGAGTTTTACTAAATAAGTTCCCCTACTGAATCCATTTTCTGAGACAGATTTGGAAAATTATTTTTCTTTTACATTCTGTTCCCCAAATTCTACTTTCTAAGTTCAATGCAGAACATGATCCTATATTTCTCAAACATCTAAGATTAAGACAAAGTCTTTCTACAGAATGGGAATGCAAACTCACAGGTAATCAATTTCAATGAGATGCTACATCAGTTGCAATAAAAACAATTCTTATGCATAGAGGTAATTCTCTACTTATAAGTGATAGTTTAATGACTGTTCAAAGTTACAACAGACTTCACTGGAGGTACTTATGGCCTAAATTTGAAATTACGATGGTCAGACACCACCACCACCCCAGCAGTCATTTGCAGCATCCTGTGGCTATGTGCCCTGTTTTATGACAGATTTGCTACAAACCAGAATTTACTTCGTGTTTTGGGCAAAACTGGTCCATATCAAATCATTGGTTTGCTTAACGACCATTGCAAAAAAGGTTGCAAAATTGAGCCAGTCAGGTGAATAACCTGATCTACCACTATCACTATTTAAGAATAATGGTTCTATTATGGTCGTAACTCAAAGACTATGTGTACATTTATTTATAATTTACCATTGACCTTGCTTGGTGTTTTAAAGCTTGTTTAGGAATTATAAGGTATTTCTATAAACATACTGTGGATAGACATTTCATCTTGAACTTTCACCATTGTTTCGTATTGTATATTAGAATTTTTAAGCTAAGACTGATGTGAATCTCTCACTATAATTTTTTTTCAGTCTGCTACTGTCTGATCTAAATATATCCCTGCTTCAGCTCCCAAAAATTCCAGTAGACATAGAATGAAGTCTTTATATGCCTAGATTTGATTTTTCTAAAAGTTTATGAATTATGAGGAATTGCTTTTAAAGGAATAAGCAATTACACATAGCTTTCTGTTGATATTGCTTTGTCTTGTGTTCTGGAATAAGTTTAACTGAAGAATTACCATTGTTCTTCAGCTTACTTGAGCTGGGTATCAAATGCCTGGATCATAAGTATGTAACTGCAGGGATGTTGTGACAATGGAATTCTGATGATTGGGTCATAAGTCCCCCTTGTTCAGCACTGTCATAACTTTGAGCTGTTGATGAACAAAGTGGTCATAGTCTAAGGATTACTTTAATATAAAACATTACAAGTTGTTACTATGAATACACAGATTTAAATATTGCCTGCACATTGTCTCATGCTTTATTTTTTAACATATTTGATTGCAGAGAGAAATCTTGGTGTGAGCTAAGCCATAGTTAGTTATGACCTGCAGTGATCAGCAATCATTTCTGTAACTACAGCAATTAGGTTTCCAATTATTAGTGACAACATTATGAAAATAGATGGTTGCTTTATATTAAGTTTGATGAGAATTTCATTTAAATTGTGTGTTTAAGGTAAACTTTTCTACTTGCTATATTGAAATACAACCAAAAATCCATTTACATTTCAGTATGTGGGTTTTTTCTGATCGTACAGTGAGGTTCCAAATTAAAACTATGTTTTGGAGAACTATATACAAAAACATGACATCAAATACTGTACAAACCCCATTATATTAATAAAATTACTTGCAACAAATGAACATGCTTTGCAGTTTTAAATAAAATGTGCATGAAAACAATGTTTGTGACAGCAAAATTTTTCTGGCAAATTTTAAAAACTATTCTTAGTTAGAAATTACAAACTCTATGTGCTTAAAAAGTGAACAACTGAGGAAACAAATACCTATATGTGAACCAGCACAAAACATTCCACTTTTCAAACTTTGTAATATAATAATAGGCAGTCAAGAAAATCAGTTTGTAATACAATAAATATTTTAAAATTACCAATACAGTACAGGGCACATGCGATATTTGGTTATTCAATAATAAAATGGGGGGAGTCTAGGAAAACAACAAACAATACTGATTCTTGTTTCTAAGAGAATTGGCAGAATTCTGAAAATAAAAATGTTATTAAATGTTGAGGAATTGGAGATTAAGACAAATTTGCATAAGATAAAAGGAGAGTTGCATTTTAAGCAGCTAGAATAAAGAGAATAGTATCTGTGATCTATAGTTACATTAAAACCAATTTTTCCAAATTATCCACATGATAATAGAATGTTATATGAAAGGGTTTTAATTACACTGTATTTTCAAATGTACCCAGTTTCTGTTTCTTTTTACTTTCTTACCATAATATGTAGTACATGCTGCAAAGAACTCAGGACCAAGATGAAAATGTGGCTTTGGAGGCTTGTGAATTCTGGTTGACTTTGGCTGAACAGCCAATTTGTAAAGATGTATTGTATCGGCATCTTACAAAGTAAGTTAATTTTCCCCTTAATATTATATTGGCTTATTTGAAATGTGTGTACATGTTTAACTCAGTCTTTAAAAACATTTAAAATTGTTTCATGAATCTTGTAAAGTCATTATTTGGAACATTTAAATTGAGATGGCAGTTGTACCTATGTACTTACCCAGGAACACATACAAACTTGATACATTTTTTTGTGTGCTAATAGTTTTTATGAAAGTTGTAAAAGCCAGTAATATCAGTGAGAAATTTCATGTGGTACAATCAAGGGAATGTCTGTTTCTCCATGAAAATACTTTATGCTTTTTCCATACTGTATAACACAACTGCACACCAATTAACTCTCATTTGTTTAAAACAATTTCTGTGTTGTATAAACTGAATGTAATTACTTCTTTTATCCAAGGAAAGAAGCTATATTTGTGAGGGAGTCAAATTTTCTTTTCCTATTTATTTAACAAATGTTTGTATCCTGGTTGGTTAACAGTATAAATAAAGTCTCAATCAAAATAACAGTAAATACAATCAAGCCAAAGCATCCATTTCCTTTTTTCTCTGAAAGCCGTGCAGGACAATTCCATCTTTATTAGTTATTGGAAAACCATTGGATGAATACCTGATAGATGGCCCCAGGAAGAGACTGTTGTTGCACCCTCACTTTTCTAAAATTGTCGATTTATTAATAATTTATGCAGCAAAAAACATATTAGAAAAATTACATTTGAAAGAAATCATCCTGAAAACAACTGATACCCAAGTTTTACATGGAATACATAAATTAAAACTAGCTCTTTGAATTGCACCTATCAATAATTAGCAGCAAATACAGGGCCCGCAACTATGTGCAATCATAGTTCATTTGGCTGAGATATGTATGTATGTATATGTATGTACGTACGTACGTACGTGTTTCTATGCATATGTATAACCAAAGAAACTTTAATATCCTGAAATGGCATCCAGTGGAATATTTTATATTTCAAATATTCTAAAATGATAGTTCATGATTTTAAAACATGCTAATTTTAATTTGATTTGAAATAAATCCATGTCTTAGAAATCCAGGCTCAAATCTTTGACTATTAAAGTGGGCAGACATTATCTCGGCATTTTCTCTTAAATAATTTGCATGAGTTTGATTCATATTTGAAAATTTTAAAGAATGTGAACTCCTGCTTACACAACTTTAGGAATTGATGTTCCATAATTTAATTAATTTTTTTCTATGTAGGTTGATACCTGTCCTTGTAAATGGTATGAAATATTCAGAAATAGATATCATTCTGCTGAAGGTAGGAATAACTATACTTTGCCTCCAATACCTATGAATTTTTTTTATTTCTATACATCAAGCAAAATGTGACATGTACAGAGCTATATCCCTTTTTGTTGAAATTAGCACTTATATACCAATATATTTTGAAGAGATACTGTTGTACATAGAAGTTATTAACTTCTGATCAAAATACATGATTCGATGACTTCCTGAGTGAACCAAAGCTGAGACAGCTTCTATGTGATAAAAAGTGAAACCAATATCTATCAATTTGATTGCATACTTGTTTTTTATTTAAGGTTACTTACAAATACAAAATTATATACTATATACAGGTTGTGCCAATTTTGATTCATTTAGGGATGATCAGAAGTATAATAGCAATAGCACTTGGACTTATATACCATTTTACAGTGTTTTACAGCCCTCTCTAAGCGGTTTACAGAGTCAGCATATTTCCCCAACAATTTGGGTCCTCATTTTACTCACCTCAGAAGGGTGGAGGACTAAATCAACCTTGAGCCGGTCAGGATCAAACTCCTGGAGTGAGCAGTGTGTTAACCTGCTATACTACATTCTAGCCACTGCGCCACTATGGCCCAGGTTATCCATATTTTTGCCTGTAACTTTTAAGTGTAGAATTGTATTATTAATAATTATCCGTGGTTTTTAGTAACATTTTGTAAGTTATTTGCTACTTTATACTTAATCATTGCAAATTTAAACACATTTGGTGTTTTAACTGAGCATCTAAAAGTTTTTTTAAAAAACACTTGATATAGCATAGAAAAGACTTTCTTTCTTTATAGTTTGCTCTTTGGTTTGATAATAGGGAGATGTTGAGGAAGATGAAGCAATTCCAGATAGTGAACAAGATATAAGGCCTCGGTTTCACCGTTCACGAACAGTAGCTCAGCAGCATGAAGAAGATGGTATTGAAGATGAGGAAGATGAGGAAGATGAGCTTGATGATGATGACACTATTTCTGACTGGAACTTAAGTATGCCACTTTTCTAACTGAAATGTAAAACATATGAATATACCTGTATATTAAGCTTAATTTAAGAATTGGTCAGAAGTTAGGTATATTACATGGTTGCATTGAATATGAGATTTGGGTGCCATGATGTTATTTATATTTCATGTTAATGCCCCGAGTCTTCCCCAAATTAAGGGATTACAGGGTTCTAATTGTTGGTTGCATTGTATACTGCCCAGATTTATGTTGTTAGTGAAATGGGTAACTGATCAATAATAAATAAAATATTGATTGCAAAGCTGTAAGGGATTAAACTCAACAGAAAATCTGGAGCACTTTTCCCAACTACAATATTTAAAAGGCATATACTTGTGCACTCTTTTCTTTCCATTTAATAAAATGTAGTAGTCTGAAAATGGGCTAACAGACTCCTGAATGTTTTGCCACCACAAACAGGCCTTCTCATACAATGTTTAGAATGGTAGGTTAATTTTAAGTCCTTTGTATTTTATTCTTTGTTACAATTTCCTCATAATTTTCAACAAATAGCAAATTGGTTAATTCTGCAAAATGAAGTGGAGGGAGGTTTTGAAAGCATAATAGACCATACAAAATATGTATATGTTACATTTCTTTAGGGAAATGTTCAGCTGCTGCCCTTGATGTTCTTGCCAATGTATTCCGTGAAGAGCTGCTGCCACATATTTTGCCCCTTCTAAAAGAACTGCTTTTTCATCCAGAATGGGTGGTGAAAGAATCAGGCATCCTTGTTCTAGGAGCAATTGCTGAAGGTAAATGATGTTTGAGGTTCCTGTTATACTTCGTTACTATTCATGGGGAAAAGAAACTCATAAATCTAAACAAGGTGTTTCACACAGAATATATTCCTGCTGCAAAAAAATATGAGAATGAAACATGCAAGAATAAGTGATGTGATGGCTTCAGTTATATGTATTATATATAATTTAATAACACTTTAGTGAGATACTAGAGAAATAATCTTAAATCTACCTGGAAACAAATTTGAAAAAGTTATTGTGGGTGATAGCAATTAAATGGTCTCATTCAAAAATACTAGTTTATACAGATATAGAGCTTCTTAGACACATGGGATGTCTTCTGTTTCAAATTACACTCTCCTGCACACATGCTCCAATGCCCCCATCCCGGATACCTTGGTAAAAACAATAGTGTTGGAGGTGGACAACCAAATGTACCTGGGTTGTTGTGGCTCTTCTCTGCAATTTGGCTGCTTTTGTTTGCTGCCAGTTAATGAGCACAAAAGAGAAGGAGGAAATTTCTCTAATGGTTGAATTAATACCTGCCTATTTAGATGTGAGTAAATGTGCAAAGTGACATGTGAGAGTAATGAGTTATGGAGACAGAAAAAGGATGGTTTTGGCATTTCCTCATCAGTAGTGGTATTCTTGTCCTTATCTTTTGTTCAGAAATGTGCAAAACCCTTGACAAATAATATAGTTCCCGTCCAGATTGTGCTTATTGACAGCTCTTCTTGACAAGGAAAGGCTCTTTAATAATGTTCTTCATGGTCCCTTTTGTAAGAAATACCTACCTTAGTGAAAAGATGAGTCCCCCCCTCTTAGTTTAATATAGCAAAAGAGGTTAAGTCTCATTTCTCTAAATACTATGTGCATTCTAAAGTCTAGAAGCAGGGAAAAAAAATAAAAAATAGAGGAAGTAATTTTGTTTCTTTTCAATTCCACATCAGAATTGTTTTCAACTAAGTTATTTTTCAGCATAATGGATTAATATATTTTTTCATTCTGTTAATCATGTTTCTCAGACACTGCATGGACAAGTCCCTGTAATTTTTTTGGCAAGGTTTTTTCAGAAGTGGTTTGTCACTGCTTCTTTCCTAGGGCTGAGAGAAAATGACTAGCCTAAGATTACCCAGGTGGTTTTGTTCCTAAACAGGGATTAGAATTTGCAAGTCCTCAAGCTGACACCCAACTTTCTTTGTAACTGATGATGCAAAACTGTGAACAGTGACCCCTTCTCTGGCTTGTATATCACAGACAATTGGCTTTTATTCTCTAGCGGACGCTATTTAGATTATTAACTGACATTCTGGATATACATTTAAAATTATTTAAATTGGCATTGATAGGATTGTTGGATGCCAAAGAGGCATTTGATCTGGTTAAATTGAAATTTTGAAGCAAGTTTTTAAATATGGACTTCTTGCATTTTTATTATGTGAATTACTATGGACTTCAGTTACTACAAAGAGTTGTATCTTTATCTGTTCAGAATCTTATTAAATTTGTCATCTTTATTTTCATTTTTTATTTCATATTAGAACTATTGTTCTGCCATTTCAGAAAAATGGAAGACACATTGGGTATAAGAATGTCTGATTTTCAACCCAGATTGTTATTGCCCTTTGAAATGATTATTCTGGTGTTGGGGTAATTAGCAAGAAAAGAATTAATGTTTATGTTTACATTAATTGGAGAGAAAGGGATTACAAGAAAGTAAGCTGGCAATCCTTGCAACCATTTGTTTAGCGATCATTGGAAGTTACAATGTCATTGAAAAAAAGTTACATACAACTGGTTCTTGTGCTTATGACCATTGCAGTATCCCCATAGTCACTTGATCAAATTCAGGTGCTGGGCAACAGACAAGTATATACAACAGTTGCAGCATCCCATAATCATGCAATTATGGAAGATTTGCAATCTTCCCAGCAGGGTTCTGACAAGTAAAATCAATAGGGGAAGCAGGATTTGCTTAATAACTGCTTAGCTATGTATCTTTGTTCCTCCCTTCCTTCCTTCCAACAGTTCTCTATATTTTTTCCTATGAAAATTACAGCTGTGATAGATATCATTTGGCATATATTTTTATTTCATATTGTCTAGAAAATTCAGTAAGAAAATCTATAGTCACAACTACAAAGGTATTATGTGATTTATTTGATATCACAGTAGGGACTTAGGACTATTTGTCAAAAATAGTTGTACTGGAGGACTTCCGGTGGCATTTCTGGCGAAGATGGACCAGAGACCGCAATCGTGTGGTCCATGACCCACCTTGTAGGGGTGGGGGAAGAGGGGGAGACTGCCAGCTGGGTGGAGGGGAGCCATATCTCCCCTGCCTGGCTTGGTACACTCCCCTAGAAGCGACAGTTTAATGGCTGCCCTGAAGATGGGAAGTCGCCGGGATTTTTAAGTTTTGTGCTGTAGAGTGGAAATGGTGAACGGCATATAACTGGATAAAAGACTTTTTTTTTTGAAAAGCCAGAAAGAAAGAATTCTCGTTCGGAAGAATGGTCGCTGCAAACTGGGAATAAGAGGAAAACATAAGGTAAAGGAAAAAACGGAAATAAAAGAATTATATGAAATTAGCGATTAAATTTGGACTAATATAGAGAATTGGACATTAATTAGGCATTGGATAAAATGCTGGACTTATTTGGAATGGATGAAATTTAACATTAATACTATGGAAAAGAGAATTAAAAATAAGAGCATTTTGAAAAGAAAGTGATATAGAGCACCAACTAATGGTTAAAGATTTTCCTCTTTTATATTTTTATGGAAAATTACTGGTCGCATAAACATTTGAAAGAGAGAAGAAATGGAATAAAAGATTATTAATACAACAAAAACCCGGAAGTTTAAAAAACAAGAGGGGACTATAAAATATAAAAGAATACAATATTTTGGGACTGCTGGAGGTTGACTGTGACAAGAAAACAGAAGAAAGAGAAAGTGAGAGAAACTGAGACTTTTGGCAAGGACTACAATAGAAAAATTTGATCTTTAATAAAGAAATGGAAGAAATAAGCAAAGAATTTAAGTCGGAGCTGCAAACTGTGAGAGATATGTTAAAAGAAAGAATGAAATTGCTGGACACAATGATTAGTAAAGTAATGGCATCGCAGCTTGTAGAAGAACAAAGAAAGCCCAGAGACGACAAGTCGGAAGAGGGAAACAACAGCCCAGATGAATAAACAAGGACTATTGCCAAAGGATATAAAAGGATTTAAAATAGAAACATTAACAACAGAGACAACAAATAAAACAAATAAGGCTCCCAAGACTAAGAAGAAGGAATTATATAAGAAGAAATCCCCCAAAAGAGAACTAGAAAACATGGCTGACAGGCAGAGGGGAATAAAAATAACACCAGAAGGAAAAAAGAAGAAAGCCCGGGGAAACTTAGAAAAGGGAAAGCTGGCTAAAATGAAAAGAAATAATAAAGCTGAAAAATTTAGAGATAAGCTTTAGGGATTTTATAAGGGGGATACCACATGGTATTTAGTTTAAAACTTGCTGGAAAATATTTTAGGATTATATAACTATGTATAACTATATATAACTATATATAACTCTCTCTCTACACACACACACACACACACACACACACACACACATGAGAATTACATGAATTATGCTGTTATGAACCCTTTCTTTGGAGGATTAAAAACAGGAATGGAAATGAATAAAAATATATAGATAAACTTTGGCAAAGGGGAAAGGAAGAAAAAATGATTATTAATGATTATAAGTAAGGTGAAGATAAAATGAGATATATTAAGTTATCTTAGCAATTTACGGGGGGGGGGGATACTTTAAAATACATTCTAAAATATACAGTTGATTATTTAATGGATATTACAAAATGTATAATGAAAGTATTTTATTATGATAAAAGTAGGGGAATGAAAAATACCATGTGGATCCTAAATATATTGGTTTTATTTTACTTTTACTCTTTTTAGATTGTTTATTATGCACTGCTCAAAAAAATAAAGGGAACACAAAAATAAGACATTCTGGATCTGAATGAATGAAATATTCTTATTAAATACTTTGTTCATTACATAGTTGAATGTGCTGACAACAAAATCACACAAAAATTATCAATGGAAATCAAATTTAGCAATCTGTGGAGGTTTGGATTTGCAGTTACACTCAAAATTAAAGTGGAAAAAAACACTACAGGCTGATCCAACTTTGATGTAGTGTCCTTAAAACAAGTCAAAATGAGGTTCAGTAGTGTGTGTGGCCTCCACGTGCCTGTATGACCTACAACTCCTGGGCATGCTCCTGATGAGGTGGTGGATGGTCTTCTGAGGGATCTCCTCTCACACCTGCACTAAAGCATCCCCCAACTCCTGGACAGTCTGTGGTGCAATGTGGTGTTGGTGGATGGAGCGAGACATGATGTCCCAGATGTGTTCAGTTGGATTCAGGTTTGGGGAACGGGCGGGCCAATCCATAGCATCAATGCCTTCGTCTTGCAGGAGCTGCTGACACATTCCAGCCACATGAGGTCTAGCATTGTCTTGCATTAGGAGGAACCCAGGGCCAACCGCACCAGCATATGGTCTCACAAGGGTCTGAGGATCTCATCTTGGTACCTAATGGCAGTCAGGCTACCTCTGGCGAGCACATGGAGGGCTGTGCGGCCCCCTAAAAAAATGCCACCCCACACCATTACTGACCCACTGCCAAGCTGGTCATGCTGGAGGATGTTGCAGGTAGCAGAACGTTCTCCACGGCGCTTCCATACCCTGTCACGTCTGTCACATATGCTCAGTGTGAACCTGCTTTCATCTGTGAAGAGCACAGGGCACCAGTGGCGGATTTGCCAATCTTGGTGTTCTCTGGCAAATGCCAAACGTCCTGCATGGTGTTGGGCTGTCAGCACAACCCCCACCTGTGGATGTCGGGCCCTCATACCATCCTCATGGAGTCTTTTTCTGACCATTTGAGCGGCCACATGCACATTTGTGGCCCTCTGGAGGTCATTTTGCAGGGCTCTGGCAATGCTCCTGTCCCTCCTTGTACAAAGGCAGAGGTAGCGGTCCTGATGCTGAGTGGTTGCCCTCCTATAGCCTCCTCCACGTCTCCTGATGTACTGGCTTGTCTCCTGGTAGCGCCTCCATGCTCTGGACACTACGCTGACAGACACAGCAAACCTTCTTGCTACAGCTCGCATTGATGTGCCATCCTGGATGAGCTGCACTACCTGAGCCACTTGTGTGGGTTGTAGACTCCGTCTCATGCTACCACTAGAGTGAAAGCACTGCCAGCATTCAAAAGTGACCAAACCATCAGCCAGAAAGCATAGGAACTGAGAAGTGGTCTGTGGTCACCACCTGCAGAACCACTCCTTTATTGGGGATGTCTTGCTAACTGCCTATGCTTTCCACCTGTTGTCTATTCCATTTGCACAACAGCATGTGAAATTGATTGTCAATCAGTGTTGCTACCTAAGTGGACAGTTTGATTTCACAGAAGTGTGATTGACTTGGAGTTACATTGTGTTGTTTAAGTGTTCCCTTTATTTTTTTGAGCAGTGTATATCGGCTTAGAGAAAATTAAGGATAATAATGATGTGTAATGTAAAATAAAATAGGTGGTAAGCTGAAAATGGAAATAATAGGGGATAAAGTATTGAAAACCTGTGTGTGGATGAAATGATATTGATATTGAACTAATGAATTGAAATACGAAATGCAAATTTATTTAAAGATGAGTGAAATGGATAATAATATGAGATGATATTGTATAAGATTAATGGAAATGAAAGTTTGACTATTGACAAGTGTTATAATCCAGAATCATGTTGCCCATGTGAAGAGATGTGTAAAAATAAAAAAATAAAACACTTTTTATAATAAAAAATAGTTGTACTGTATTTCCAGCATTAAAGGCTGCATGGTACATTTGAAAATTATGGAACAAAAGTAGCCTTTCAGTCCTTACCACATAACAAATTTAACTATGAAACAATCCCAACTTGAAAATGTCAATGCAATTTTTTTTTTGGAAATCATGGACAAGCGGAACAATTTATTTTAATTATTGCAAGAAGAATTTGAGTGATTAAAACCCAAAATATCAGTATTTATTAAAATATTGCTTTATTTCACAAGTTAGTCCTTGATGCATTTGAAATGTTTGAAGACTCAAATTGTCAGATTTGAAATGTATTTTAGATGATTATATGACTACTGTATTTTTATAAACAAATAAAACTAATGTGGATATAATTATTGGCAATAATTTGAAGAAAGAATTAGAATAGTAATAGGAAATTGATGGCTAATGAACTTAAAGTTATATTAAATATCTTTTATGTGCTTGTAAGCTGAGACTAATTCAGTAAAATATTTTATTTCATATTTGTTATTCACAACAAAATATAATTCAAAATAGTACGTGTCATATGTTTGAAGTATGAAATTGGTATTGAGATACTTAATAATATACAAACTTGTTATTTTACTAGTCTGTTTTGGTTTAATATCAATACATTTGATAATGTTTAATACATTTTTTAATACATCTCATACATTTTAATGTTGCAAGCTGCCTAGAGTTGCCTGTGCAGCAACTTTACTAAGTTGGTATATTGACTACCTGTAATAGTAATAGTAGTAGTAGTAGCAACACTATATAATTATCAGATTGTTAAACTATTTCTTACTTCTTTCTTATTTCATTTCATATTCCTACAGGTTGTATGCAGGGTATGATTCCATATCTTCCCGAGCTAATCCCTCACCTTATTCAGTGCCTCTCTGATAAAAAGGCTCTTGTGCGCTCCATTACTTGCTGGACTCTTAGTCGCTATGCACATTGGGTAGTCAGTCAACCCCCAGACACATACTTGAAGCCATTAATGACTGAGTTGCTAAAGCGTATCCTTGATAGTAACAAGAGAGTACAAGAAGCTGCCTGCAGGTAGGTCACAGTATAGAAATGCGAGCCATGGCTCTCAAGGTACATAGTACAGTCTACAGTATTGTTTTATTTATTTTTGTTGAGTAGCTCATTTCTAGTTGACTGGAAAAGCCATTTGAGATGATTTTTAACCATTCTCCTGTAATTATATTTGCTTTTAACAGCTACATTCATTTTTGTTAAATATATAAAAGGATTAAGCTAAATAAGTTCTATTCTAGCCATTAGAATTAGAATATACTGAACAGAAATCTTATAATAATTCCTCATGTCCATCAGAAACTTTGGTTCCCTATATAGTGTTAATAGATTTTAAAAAGGATTTACTGTTTTATTTAAGTGGGAAAAGTACATTCCTTCATGATGTAGACTAATGTTTTCTTTTGCCTTTTAGTGCCTTTGCTACTCTAGAAGAGGAGGCTTGTACAGAGCTTGTTCCTTATCTTGCTTATATACTTGATACTTTGGTATTTGCATTTAGTAAATACCAACATAAGAATCTGCTCATTCTTTATGATGCTATAGGAACTTTAGCAGATTCTGTAGGCCATCATCTAAACAAACCAGTAAGTATCGCCCCAAGTTAAGTTGAGGTAAGATGGGCATCCTATAAATTTTATAAATAAATTGTATATCTGAATTCTCTAAAAAATCTTGACTATTCATTTCTTTATCAAGCATTCATTCTAGATAAGTATTTTTGGAGATTTCTTGCCCAAGTTATTCATTGCTTTATTAATGGATTTTTTTTCCTTTTTTTTTCTTTTTGCTTTATATTAGGCTTTTAAGAAACATTATAAAATCTGACTTGTTCATGAATTGAATACTATCTAAAGCTTTAAAAAGTATGCCTAGATGTTTTTCTTATAATTGTTCAAATGCTTCAGTGATAATCTCCATTATTTTGTCATAACTACAAGGAAGAAAGCAGCAAGGCTGGAACCAGTGATTCTTAGTGATTACTGTTCCAATCATTACTGGAATAGATAGGACCTTTTTGTAAACACACCTTTCCTGCCCAAGGCCAACAAGTGACTGTAAACTATATGTTAATTTGGGAGTGGGAGAAGAATTTTATAGTCTAAATTGCTAAGAATACTGTTGGAGAGTGGGCAATTCAACTGTTGTCAGTTAAGGGAATCTACATAACTGCTAAAAAAAACCTAAATAAAGTTTTGTAGAGCATAAATTCTGTGAATTTTTCATTGTCTACAGGAATACATCCAGATGCTTATGCCTCCATTAATCCAAAAATGGAACATGTTAAAGGATGAAGATAAAGATCTTTTCCCTTTATTAGAGGTAATTCATGCTGTTGTTAGAAATAGTTCTTTTGACTTTTATAAATCTTCACTGTTTAAATTTTCTTCCTTTTGATGCCAGCTTTTAACAGGGAAATTGAGGTATCCTAATTCTGCATCTATATAATTAGGACTAAGACCCATTCGCTTCATGAAGATCTTTTGACAAGACCTGATATGATTGCACCATAATGTGGCAGTTCTGAGGATTTTCTAGGAATTAGCTTTCTGAATGTGTTTCTGAAGGAACTGTAGAATTAAACTGCAAAGAATCAATAGAGAGTTCTTCTGGTCTTGTGTGTTGAAGCATTATGATTATGTCCCTGCACAGTTTCTTAATCTGTGAATACATGAGCTTATTTTATCTTTCAAATTTTTCTCTTTTAAACAGAATTAATGTAGCAAATATCTTAGACACTATGTAATTGGGTACACATGTTCCTTAATTTGTCTCCTGTATTTCAGTGCCTGTCTTCTGTTGCCACTGCCTTGCAATCTGGCTTCCTTCCATACTGTGAACCTGTCTACCAGCGCTGTGTGAATCTGGTACAAAAGACTCTTGCACAAGCCATGGTATTTTCTGTTACCAGTTTTCATACCATTAGGAAATGTAGATTCAGTGGGATTTAAACTCCTTGATTGGTCATAAAATCCTTTGATCAATTTGCTGGTTTGGGGGATAAAAACTAATGAAAATTATACACTGTAATGTTGCATACTTAAATCTTTTAAACAATGATTGTTTTTTTTCCTAGTTGCATAATGCTCAACCAGACCAGTATGAAGCTCCAGATAAAGATTTCATGATTGTGGCTCTTGATTTACTAAGTGGTTTAGCTGAAGGACTTGGAGGCAACATTGAACAATTAGTGGCTCGGAGCAATATCCTGACACTGATGTACCAGTGTATGCAGGTGAGATAAATAATCTCATTCTCTTGCCTTGATGCTGTTTTTATTTTCTAAATAAAAGCAAAGGCTTTTTTCTTTCCTCTTAGGATAAAATGCCTGAGGTACGACAGAGTTCTTTTGCCTTGCTAGGGGATTTGACAAAGGCATGTTTTCAGCATGTGAAGCCCTGCATTGGTAGGTAATTTAATACTGCAAACTCTTATGTATAGTTTGAACTGCCAACTCATATTCATTGTGTTTTATAATTTGATATTAAAAGTCCTTTATATTCTTAAATTGATAATGATGGCTGGAGTAATAGAAAATTGCCATACATATATGTATACATTTATGGCTTGGACCTGTTTATAGTGCTTTTATTACCAATGTGCCATGGTGGGGAGAAATATTTTGTGGATTATTTCAGTGAATAAATTCTCATCTAGAATAATGAGAAAGAGGTGCTTGGTTCCTATGTATTTGCTTCACTGTCTTTCTGCCTTGGCTTAAAAGAAATCTAGTTTAATACTGATGTATATTTTCTTCAAGTCTGTAAAGTTTCCTGTCCCGTAATCAATATAATGATTGTAAACTCTCCATTAACCTGCAGTACTATGGCTTACAATGTGATCTGAGTTTCATTTGCATCTTGCTAATAAATAAATAAATTCTGACAAAACAAACAACACACAAGGTGTTCTACACACCTGTGTTTATTGAATATGTAATACTCACTATATTTGTTAGAAAACATTTGAGAAGTTTTCATTTATTAACTAGATTGCCTCCTTTAGCAGCAGTGATTCCAGCCAAATGTTTTTTATACATTACCCGTTGAGCACTGTCACACATTGGCCTCATAGTATTTTGGCCCATTCTTCCTTAAAACACTACTTCCACTCCTTGCTGTTTTAGGTTGCCTTGCACAAATTAGGAGCTAATTCAATAATTATTTATTTCCTACCTTTATTTGTTTTTCTCATAAATAATGCACAATGGTGAACAAGGTGGTTAATACTCCTTTTTCCTCCTATTTTCCTCAAAACAACTCTTGTTACATGCGTTGTGTTGAAAGAGAATAACTGCTGCAGTGACCCAGCTGACTTTCATGCTAAAGTGGGAGTAGAACTCAGCCTCCTAGGTAGCACCTTAACTACTTCACCAAATGGCCCACTGTACATGCCTTAAGTTTTGACACCCTAAGACAGTGCACATTCAACTCAAATCTAAAGCCAGCCTTGCATGAATTGCTTGCTTTTGAATTTCCTATAATGTTGTAATTGGGATGTGGTTGATGCACCTGTTTGGATATTTCCAAATGTAATATTTCTTCTGTCTTTGGTATTCTGATTTTATATATATATATAGAATCACTCTCGCATTGTGTCACTCCCATTCATATAAACTTCAATTCATAGACATTGTTCTGACCAAGGCTTCCTGAGACACCCACAAACACACATTAAATCCAAAACCCTTTTATTTTAGTTCAATGGTTATGAATTATCATCATTCACAGCCCATAATGAGTCTTAACGAGTTATAAATAGTCCTATGGAAGTCTGCCATTCTTCGGAAGAAGTCTCATAAGAACACACCTTTATATTTCTTGAAGTGCTGCCAAGACTAAAGTACCAATTAGTCTTTTAAAACCAAACTGAGCACAAATTCACCACAGAGCTTTCAGGTTCCAAACTGACCAGAGCGAACAACGTTGCTTCCTGCAAAGGTCCCTGTCCCTTTGCACTTCCTTTATATCTTATGGCAATCACCCCCAAGCCTTACTCCCGAGTTGCCCTTTTGTCTTAGCTGCTGTTGCCTTCTGGCAGCTCTGCGCACACTGGGAACAGGCTCCCCTTGTTCTTCTGCCTCGCTGCTGTCAGATTCTGGAGGCTCCGGAGTCAGCACATAACTCCCAGATGGACGCAGGACCATCATCCAAGTCCTCTCCAGACTCCCGGACTGGCCCATGTTCTTCCCCACTGTCCGATTCTGCTGTCTCCACAGGCTGCTGGCAGACCACAATAGACATATTCTGATGTGCTCTTGTAGGATTTGTTAGTACAATCCAGAATCCATTGTTCCTTCAGTGTTCGTGAGCCATTTGGATCATCAGGCTGCAAAGGAGCCCCAAACTATGATATTTCTAACATACTTATGTGATTGAGATGAGACCTTTTCAATGTAACACTGTTTCATTTTCTCCAGACATAATTTCACCATTCATGTCCAAATATTCTGTTTTGATCTATTCACAAATTGTTGTTCCAGTAGCCTATTAGATCATTCAGGTATAATTTGGTTGAGATAAATGACAATTTCCTGGAGAATATTCTTTCCTCCCAGTTACATAACTTTTATTCAGTGTTTCCCTAGCATTTATGAACAGTTAACATCAGGTCTGACATCTGACAATACAAAATTGATCTGGATATAATCCTGGGATTTGGGATGGGAATCTCCCATAGTGTTGTATATTTTGCACACCACAGAGTTCTCCCTTGACTGGGCTAAATTCACTTAAAAATATGTGTTGTGAAGAGAAGGTTGAGGGTTCCATTAGTGGAATTCAATATTTGTGCATTTTAATGAGGAGACCTAGATTATCATCTGATTAATTTATACATACAACTCAATTTACTTAATAGGATTTCACATCTTCATGTAAATGATGAATATTACTCAGTGTGTTCAATAAAGGCATGGGAGTATTTTGTATAGTTGTATGTTAATCAGAATCTCTTATAAGACTTGGATCTGATCTCAGTGCAAGTCACAGTACTGATTACAAGCAAGATTAGAAATAGTTTTTAAGGATTACATGCAAGTTTATAAATAAATAGTTTTTAGGGGTCCACCAGCTTTCTCTTACAACTGTATATGGGTTATGTGTTCAGGGAGATTTTTGATAGCGATTGATTTATCATTTTGCTGACAGTTCTTTGTTGGCAATAGAAAAGTGAAGCATGGGCTAAGTGAATTGCCTCATGTTAAATAGTTTAACTGAGAACTTCACATCATTTGGTTGATAATAACAGTTAAATTTTTCTTTCAGTGGAGTAAAAGCAGAGTTGTTTCTCTCACTTGTTCTTGTAGGTATTAGTAAGAGATGGTAACAGTTGATAAATGAGATAGAACCAACTCCTCCTTCCAGTTAAATTTCTGCCATGTTCCAGTGCAGGGGTTGACAACCTGCTTTCGGCCCTCTGCTGCGGCTCACTGTGGGCTGATCACCCCACTGGCTGCCGCTCCCTTCCCAGTCATTTCTCGCCTGGCCTGAGAAGATTCTCTCCATATTCCAGAGCAGGAGCAAAGCACCCTGTACTTGCCTATGCACAGCAACAGTATTCTGCCTTCATCACGGTACATTTGTGCTCAAGGCAGCCCTCACCTCCCACTGCTTTGGGTTTGGAGCTGTAAGCTACTTCGGGCTTGGAGCTGTTGCTGCTTCCATGGCCTGCCCGCTGCTCTCACAGTGCCTTGCACAGCACAGTGAAATTTAGTGCACCTCACAATGAGTGAGGCGGGTTCCCTCCTCCACCTGGAGCCCATTATGACGCAGAGCCACAATGCGACCCTGCCCCCACTCTCCCCTGGCAACAGCAGCAGCATCCACAGAGACACAGAGAGAGAGAGAGACCGAGAAAGAAAAAGACAGACAGACACACACACACATACACACAGGGAGAGAGAGAAGGTGAACACACTTGAAGCTGGGTGTGGCAAGAGGTGGCTGGGAGGGGAGGGGTGAGGTGGGGCCAGGTGGCAAATAACCTAACCAGTTCTCTGCCCTAATGACCAGCTGAGTAGGCATGGCTGGGGGGGTCATGTAATTGGGTGGGAGTGAATGATGTCGAGTTGGCCACGTCCACCCAGTCACACCAGTTGTTAAATTATTGGCTCCTGGTGTTTTCTGTGGGAAACAGGTCCAAATGGCTCTTCGATTGTTTAAGGTTGCAGATCCCTGTCCCAGTGCCTAGGACTGCTGAAGACTGAGGAATGAATAGGAATAAATCCAAACATAAACACAGTGTACTACTTCTGTCTGTAGTGTTATTTATTGTTATCTCTTTAATGGGTGTGGATATATCTTAATTAAAGAATAACATACAATCTTGTTTATTTATTTTAATGTTTCCTTTAACAGTAATCACAACTGTTTCACTTGATCCATCCCTTATCTACACAGTTTTGAATCCTGATCACTGAACTTTGTTAAGTTAACTCCTCTAAATAGCTTTGGTTTAATTTTTTCCCATTTCTTGTCTTTTCTAAGTTAGAGAAGAAGTGAAGTGAAGAAAAATAACTTTGCCAAGCCACACTTACTATAGTCATACTTCTCTTATCATAGCTTCTTTGTTGCTCAATTTTTTTTACCAATTAGTGTATTCTGCAAATTCTTCCTTTCTGATTCTATACGCATCAGTTGGATCATCAATTCTGTTTCTTCTCCTCTGGGGACCCTCTTTTCTTGCTTGGTAACTGCAGCCACTCCGCCTTGTTTCTTGGAAGCATGTATCATACCTCCAGTTGATTCAGAATCACCCAGCAGGAAGGATTTAAAAAAAACTGCTTTCCTTGACAATTCCTTCATAGAAATCTTGTTCCACCTCAAGTTAGATATGATTGCTCACAGGTATTCGAATTACACCAATAATTTCCTAAATGTCTGCAGGGCACTTCTAGTGCATTTGGCAAAAAGACAAAACTCCATCTTCAGACAAATTACAATATCATAATCAGGCAGCACATCTTGTCACGGACCTTGTCAAGGACCTCCTCAAGGATCTTGAGGAGATTAAGCTTTTTTTCCTTTGTATTTTGAGGTTTTTAAATGGAAGGAGAAAACAGTTGTGAAGTGGAAGGAGGGAGGGAGGAAGGAAGGAGGGGGGAGAGGGAGGAAAGGAAGGAAGGAAGGAAGGAAGGAAGGAAGGAAGGAAGGAAGGAAG